GGAGATATGGTCTCTGCCCCAAGTAGCTTATAATTAAAACAAGATCAGCATTATAGAAACATGTATTTTAGATGCCTTCTAACTGGATGGTCTGTTTAGTTTTGTTTTGACGTACTGTATGAAGCAGCATTTAACAGAGGTTGGGAAATTAGTTCTCTAATCTTCTATTATAAACATACAGCAGAGATGCATGTGCATGAATTAATTTCATCATTGAATGTGGGTATTAATGTCATCGGGCATTTTCAAATGTTTGTGCCTATTCTACTGTTCCTTGAGCCCTCCTTGCCAAAAAATATAGAAACTTCTCGAGAGAAAGTGCCTCTGTTGTAGCAACGCTTTTTAGCACTGTACTGATGATTCTCTTCTGTTGAGTGGAAGATGTTGCCTTGTAAAAGCCCAGCAGTGAAAAAAAAAGTGCTAACTGTTTCATTAAATACCTTCTATACACAGTGTTGACCAAAGAAAACCCAAAAAACCCACCAAAACTGAGGGGTCTCCCTCGGTCTTTATACCACGTTGTCCCACTTATTATAAGTAATGCTAACTTACCATGCAAATCCTGTAGTTGATATTCTTACAGCTGCTCATATCTCTGCTGAAATAGCACACATTCAACGAGGTGACAGATCTTCCCACTCCTCCTCTTAGCTGGGAGAATCCAGTGTTGAGGATTAGATTCCCTTTTACAGCTTCCAGGATGAAGTCAAACCAGCATGAAGAGGGGAGCTGGCAAAGCAAGGCTTGCCCTCTCTGGGCAAGGAAATCAGGCAGGTCAGGCAGAGAATGGAGGTAAGACCTGGGACAAAGCCTAAACCAGAACAGAATTAGAAGGGAAGCGCAGCTGACAAAATGACTTAGAGATTTCATAATTGCCACTTGTATTTAATGTATTTTGCATTTCACATCTGTATCTTTTTTTATTTTGTGTCCCCCTTAGTTTAGTTTTCATACATGAAAGTCTTAAGTGTTTCTAAAGCAACAGCTATGATTTTAAAAGATCATTTGACGCCCACCCCACTCAAATTACAATAGCCATGCAATATTAATTTAGGGTGAGTGGGCACAGATGTTATCAAAATCACCCATTTACCTGCCAACTCCACCAAATTTTCCAGCACTTGGATATTTTCTTCCACTGCTGTGTGGAATTTTATTGTAATGTTCTCTCTGCTTTTTCTTTTTGTGCCTTTTTTTTTCTCAGATCTTTTATCCAGTTACTAAACCTGCATATGGCTTCCTTCTCTATCAGCTGTCTGAGCTAAAACAATACTTCATGGCAATCACTGCAAAGAAAAGCAGCCTCTGAAGATACTGATGTGATTAGGTGTGAGGCCAGAGACTTGTGCTGAGTGCTAGAAGAGCACTTTATAACCACAGTAAATCAGTAAGTTTGGGCTAGACAACACGGCAGAGGAGAAGTGGTGTGATGTGAAACATGAGTTGGAGAAGAATGCAAAAGAGAGGGAAGTGAAAAGACAGATTTAAAACTGGATTTTCATTTTCTGGTGTTACCAATGTGTGAGTTAAATAATCAGCTTTTCTTTGTTGGCTTTTCCTTAGTTCACTGTTGTGCAGCTAATACGCATCTGAACAGCAAAACACATGCAGATGTGAGAGCTCTCTGTGCCTCAGGCCTATGAAAACCTATATTAACACAGCACTAAATCTGAACTAATGCACCCTGTCCCTCAGCAAGGACTAGCTTCATGCTAACAGCTTTTGAGCTGCCTGGAATGGAGGCAAAGTGTGTTTTATCTTCCCACAATGGACTTTGTGGAGCTATCCATATTAGGCCTAATTTGGAAGAGGCATTAAAAGCTTTCTTAATATGTGACTTTGCCATATACTGACGGAAAGCAAAGGGCACTGCAAACAAGGCAAGCACCACTGCCCGTATGTCATGATACGCAGTAGTAGGACAGGAAAAAGCTGCCCAGATGTCAGGTCTTGTCAGGAGTATGGTTCAGGTCTCCATTGCCCAATCCACCACATATACTGTGTCTCTAACTGGCAATTGCAGGATTGTTCAGATTCTGCACTAATATTCAATTTCATAACTCTTTATGTTAAATCCTGTGTTTATAAATAAATGTCCACATTGGGCAAATTAGAATAACGGCAGTGCATTCTACACAGCCTGATTTTTTTCCCAGTTTAAAACATGCAAAATCAAAGCAGAATTATGTCAATAGGTTTTGAAAATGTGCATAATCTTAATTTCTGTAACTTGGAGTAAGCAATAACAGTGCCTGTACAAACATATGCATTGCTTGTCACATACCAAGTTTCATATCTTTACATAGAAAGTGAAAGTAAAAGCTCCTAAAGATAATTTCCTCTAAGTATGTTTTGGTTACAGATTACTTAGTGTTCCAATTAGTTTAAAGAAGTTGATTGTATGCAATACATGATGTTCTGAGGGGCTTTGTTTACCTTTATTGCTTAACTTTATTTTCCAAAAACATGATATAACATTAACGACATCTCCTAGCCCAGAATTCCAGCCTGTTTTAACTTGGTTAGCTTCTGTGGCGTTGTATCAGACATGTTGATTTAAAGATGTCAGGTTGTTTTACACATGTAGCAATAATTGTGCTGTTTAGAAAAATGTGGTGCCATCGTGTGGACAATATTAAGAAGTGTAAAAAGCAATTTTTAAAAGAAAAATTGGGAAAGAGATAAATATCTGTATTCCTTATCAATGAATCAGGTGAATTATTAATACGTATTATATGATACAAGAAGCTATGCACAAATCTGTGGGTTTAACACGACGAGTGGAATCAGGAATTATGGATTCGATCCTGTTTATTTTCCAGCAGTTCAGAAAGTCCTTCCCAATGAGCACAGAGTGATCAAAACACAGATGAGAGTCTCCAAGGTACTTTTAATCAGCACCTAATTCCAACATTACCTGCTTTTGTATTCATTTCTGTATCTGTTTATCTCTCTGGTTTTCCTCTAAGACTTTACACAACTTGGTTTTGTACAGCCTGCATTGCTTTCCTTCCACACAAATACACACACAAACACTCTTATCCATAACATTAGCCAGCCAAGGCACTCTGCCCACACAGTTCTCATTCCTGCATGAGTTCACACGAAGCTATGTTTCAGAAAGAGTTTTGGTTTAAGGCCTCTTGTTTCTTACATTTCACCCAGAGGAAAGAGACTTAGCCAGAGCTGAAATAGCTGTATGTAATACCAGTAAAAGTCCACAATGGCCAAATTAGAAACACTGCAGTGTACTTATGCAGTTACAGTTTTACTAGTTTAATGCCTACAAAATATAAGCAGATTTATGTCAATCTGTTGTGAAAATGTGCAGAATTTTAACCTCTGAAAGTTGGAGGATTAAAAGGGCCTCTACAGAAACACGCATCGTTTGCCACACATCAGGTTACATATCTCTGCATGAAAAGGGAAAGAGTAAGTTCCTAAGCCTAGTTTGAGATATTTTAGATCTGTAAAGGTTTGCACACAAGGAGTGTTATTCAAAAACTGTCCTCTGCAGTACACTGCCCCAAAGCAAACCTGCATGTCACAGCACCTTAATGTCTCCTGCTCTGAGATCCTGTATGCCAAGTGCTCAGTAGCTGATGCTGCAGTCTGCTGATTTAATTTAAACTGAATAAAGGCAAGAACTTTTTAAGCCTTGCCAGTGGGTTTGAAACAGATTATTCGGGAATAGAGCTTGAAGATATATTTGGATCAGTCCTATCTTTTGTGAACGTTTAGTGGGTTTCTTTTGGTGAAACTTCAAAAGTTTTATTTGACCTCTATGATCATTGAAGATCTTTGGAATCTTTTGAGAATGGAGCTCTACACAGTATTTTACTCGAGTATTCACTTACTTTGTGCAGAAAGAGCCTGCTCTTGTGGTACAGTAAGAGATGGAATATGTATACATGTGAGTTAACTAAATGGATATAATGGAATGTCATACATTAAAACATCCTCTGTGGCGCTGCTTAAACTTCCAGATAAAGACAGGTAACTCTATGAAATAATGACTTCTGTTTTCCAAGTCTTTGCCTCTTATGCTTGATTGATTTTGTTGTTTAAGAAAAATATGAGCTTCAGCTGAAATTTTTACTCTTTTAAGGCAATTTTTTTAATGTGGATTCTCTGGTGTCAAATTAGGTAGAAAAAATCTTTTTTTACTGGATAAACTTACAGTGACTCTTATTTCTTTTCTGCTTTGGCATTTATTTTCATGAAACTTCTGGGTGCCTCATTTTCTTTGACAATTTTACCTTGCTCTCAAACTTGTTAGAAATTATTACAGATTGAAAAATGCTGTGAGTGAGAGGTAAATGGAATATGGTGATGTATGGAAAAGGTGTCAGAAGTCTCTAGTCTCTATCACCGTGTTCAAGTTCTTGATTACTTGATATTTAGGTATTTAGAATACATGGACTAGCATAGAAATGGACTAGCAATTTATATCCATAAATCAGAAGCCAATCTCAAGATGAAGAAATCTCACTTATGATTTAATAATTGGCAAAATTGTGTGAGACAGAGTGGGGAACAAGCTCAACAACCAGCTTTCTTTCTGATGAACTTTAAATGTCAAAGTATCCCATTACAGCTTTGTATGTGTTTGGTTGTCAATGTTTTGGAAACTGTATGCTTACTCTTTTAAAAAGTGTGACACGTGTTTGGTTTTGGAAGAATTGGTTAAATATATCCTGAAAGCCAATAATTTAATGTAAATCTATTAGATTTTAATGTAAATCTATTAGATTTCCTGGATTCTGGCATCTTTTGCTATCAGTGAAAGTGAAAACAGGAAAATGAACCCTTCCTGATTCACAAATTTTTGATGTGTGGTTCCTCAAATGTTAGTAGTTTTTTTCCCCCCTCTATAACCTTGATGAGTTAATAAGATCATGCAATATTACTAATGGTAGACTTTCATTTCCATTTTTAAAATAAACATCTCTAAAACTAAAATCTAAACAGCAAAAAAACCCATATCAAGAATCAGTCTCTGTCTTTTCATGGAAGTTCTTCGTTCTTATACCCATCTGGGTGAGGTTTGGGTCTATCAATCATTGTACCACCTTCAGCACCAGGATTTCCTGTAATTATTTCCCAGTAATTCTTATATTCTTCAACTTTGTGGGAGTCCAGGTAATTGTGACAAACAACTTCACATTCTTTTCCAAAATAAGACCTGCAAAGTCAAAAAAAAAAGGGGGGAAAGTATAGGCATGGAGAATTTATATATACATATATACACAAATTCAGAAAATCTTCATTATTTGTGAATTGTTCAAGATTTCCTCATGTTTCTCCTGTCTTGTTCAGCAATATCACCACTTGCTTCCAAATATCAGACCCTTACAAGAAACACAATATCCCACTTTGTTTCCTACAAATAATTTAGGAATTTGAAATCCAAGAGAGATGCCATCTTTCTAGCTTCAGAGGTAAAAGGAGCCCCATCAGTATAAGGCAGTGATGCACCAACTCAGTATATACAAACTGTTTAGGTCCCCATCCTCATTTCTCTCTGACTGAGGAAGACTCTGCCTACTTAATAACTGTTTCAGCCTCAAACTTTCAGATCTTGTTTCATCTTGAAATACCTGATACAAATCCTTACTCAGGTCTTGCTTAGAAGTTAATGGGAAACATTGGTATGCTCTTTAGCAGTGATTAATCAATATTAATTTAATGTATATATATTAATTTGAATTGTTGGATTAACTTCAATTTGTTGAGAGATTGATTCAGATGGACAGAAGCAAAACAAGTAAGTCTGAGACAATTGTCTGCAGCAACACAGTGCACACATTACAGTCCAGAAATAAAATAAGGGAAAGGAGAATGGCATTCTGCATTCTTTCCCATTTCCTCAGTGTGTTCCTAAATCACCTGTCCTGCTTCTTACAGTAATTCCTGATGTTGGCACATCATTATGCACAACCCTGCCAGTTATAAATTATTCTTACCAAACACAAAAGTTCCTTGGAATGGCTAAGTTCCGATTAGTATAGCAATGAGTAATTAGAATTTTAGTGTTTGCCTGGAAAAAAAAAACACAAGGGAAGACACTTGGCAAATATTTTTACACCAATACTGTGAAAAAAGACTGTCTTTAACAAATAGATCATTTTGACTGTGTTTATTAGTGAGCTGATTCATGCAGATGAGTCTCAGTTCAAGGTTGTAGAGGAATATTTGTGATATTTTGCTGTACAGCCAACACTTCAGGAAGCCTAACAGTTATCTAGTACAAGAAAGTACTGTATTAACAAAAGGTTAAAAACATTTGGAAAAACATCCACTTATTCAGATGCCTTGAGATTTTCTTTTTAATAATTTTAAATCTAATGTACAGGAGCTCTTATTTAATCAGAGTTCCTAATACTGGAAATGAATTTTAGTACCTCAAAGTCCCGAAAAACAGGTAAGTACTGCATCCTCACAACATTGAAAATTTCTGATGGGAAGAACTGAACAAGTCACCCTCAAAATGAACAGCAGAACCAAATATTTGTATAAGCAGATTCCCTAATCAAAGAGACTGTTCCTTCTCTCTACCGCTTCCTAGAATTAGAGGTCAGAACCGGCAAAAGGGAATATGTGAATAAACCACTTATTTTTTTCTAAGTACTTCATCTACTGTTTCAATTAAATTTTCAAAACACTTCCTACAGTTTTAATTTCTTACAGGAACTGGAAATCCTTCGTATTCAAGACGCAGCTGTGGATCCAGGAAGGCAGCTTGCCAGCAAGTCAAGTAGGAATCCTCACCTGTCAAAAATACCGGCTGAAGGCGAGATTTTTTAGCAAATGCTGTGAATGTTTTGTGGTCACTCCCTAGATAAAACTGTAAATAAAACCATATGTTTAGGACAGTATCAATATAAAAGAAACAAGATACATAATTTTAAAACATATTTTTGAACACAAAACCTTTTCTCTTGGCTCCTGACAAATCAGTCTGCCCAGCTAAAGCTACGCAGACAACAGCCACAGCACAGATTCTATTCTGTTGATAAACTCATTAAGTAGCTATTCTATAGGCAGACTAGTGAATACAAATTTAAAATTGAATTTATATTCCAAATATTTTATCTCACCGAAGTGGTTGTTGAGAAGGAAAACTTTTCCAAAGTTGTGGTGATATATTTTGAGTGCATATGTAACATGTACTGCCTTCTTTGCTTTGAACTTACAGAGGGAAACAATGTTAACATTTAATAGAAATCTGCTGCCTCAGAATGATAGAATAGTACATGACTTCATATACCTACTACATATTATCTTCACAAGAAATGAAATCTTCTCATTTTGGAGCTGTTCGAAGTGTGGGGGGAAAAATCTCCCATATGAATTCTTTCATGATTCACAAGCTAATTTTGATTTCCTTTTTTCTTTTACTTTATAAGATCGCCTTTATCCAGTACTTCTGGCTGACAACCCCCTTGGCCTGCACATCAGACCTCAGGCAAGTGGCATAAACTTTCTAAATAGGTATTTCTTATCTTGCTATATGCATGACTCTGAATCTGTTCTGCAAAGCCAAGACGTTGAACCACTATACAGTTTTATATATCTATATCTAGAGAGTAATTCAATGCATACTATCAGAATATTCATTTGCAACTTTATTGCCTTACCAGTGTGTCAGAAATCCCTCCTGTTGTCCCAAGAAGAAAGTTTTGCCCAAATCTAAGTGGTTCACCCACTTCACTTCCATCAGCACTGTTAAAATTGTAAAAATGAAAAAATATGCATCGAAATAATCAGTTTTACTATTATTGGGGGGTTTTGTCTGTATTAAGTTTACCTTTTAAAATAGGTAAAAATATTTTAACCTAAGGAAGAACCTTCAACTATTGAGCAGGACTCTGTTCTTCTGTTTCTTGTCCCACAGACAATGGCAATTAAATATATATTTGAAGGAGAGAATATGCTGTTTTCTTAGGGTTTTTTAGGAGAACAGAAAAATGTCCATTTCATGGAAAGCAAAGGAATTTCTACTTTAGAGACCTTACTTGCAGGAGAGTGAATATTAATACTAAGTGATATTTGGATATGTTGTGTAATTTACAGCTGAAATACGACCATAATAAAAACAGCTGCAGAATTTACCAAACGATACAGTGAACTCAATTCTGTTTTCACACCTAAGCTGATTTAAAGGTCCTTGGAATTAATCAGAGTAATATGTAGCACAGAATCAAGCTTAATGCATGACCAAAGTCAATGAATCTTCTTAAATATATTAAATTTACTTATAATTCATTTTTACATTAGCAAACTTCATTGTGTATTTCTCTAAACAGGATACCTAAAGCTAAAATAATAACTGAAAATAACTCAGAATAGATCACCAGACCTTACGATACAGAAACTATTTCGACCCACAGGGTTCACGCTGTTGACTGCGCTCAGTCCACGTGAGACTTGCGGTGGGTCATCGGAAAATAGGGATATTTCCTCCATGTCCACTGCCAAGGTCAGGTCACCACGTGTTTCATCGTCCTTTGCCTCCGGGGTTTTGATGTCTGGGTTCATAACCATCACAGTGTCTCCAAAGTGAACCAGTCCATCAATAGACACTGACAGCTTTACCTAAATTAAAATGGACATAATATTTTGCAGAATCATCTGAACTTAATATCAGAAGTGTTTCAGCATATAAAGTCCGTAGCATTCTTAATGCATTCTATAATAACAATATGCCAATTGTTATTGAACATGTAACAATATGAACAATAATAACAGCTATGCCTCTCTATAGGGGGTCATGGGACATAACCTTCTTTATAAATTTACCTTCTTCAAAATATTCTCTTGAAGTCTGGCTAATCTCTGCGTTAAAAGTTGTCCTCGTTCTCTCCTACTGATAAAATCCCTCAGGAGTTCCTGTTGGCAAAGGAAAGAGAGGCAGACAGCGTTATCCAGCACGGAGAATCTCGGGGTTTAAACTGAATTTAAAGCGTTAGGGGGGGGTAACAGCGTGCGGTGGAGAGGTGGGAGGGGGGTGCTCCGATACCTCCTGCTCGTGCAGGTCCTCCAGCCAGTTCCCGACGCGCACCCCCCGCCCGTAGGCCGCCATGGCGGGCCCGGCCCCGCGCGTCCCGCGTCGCCATGGCGACCGCGCTGCCCCGTGATTGGCCAACGGGAGCGAGGCTGAGGGAGGGGCGGGCTGAGGGGGGAGTGCGGGGATGCTGAGGGGGAGGAAAGGGGGGGATCCTTAGGGTGGGAAAGGACCTTTCGGATCATCCAGTCCAACCGTGTATCTTACACTGCCAGGTCTACGCTAAACCGTGTTCCCAAGCGCCACATCTGCACGTCTTTTAAACGCCTCCAGGGGTGGTGACTGCACCGCTGCCCTGGGCATCCTGCGTCAGCGCTTGACAACCCTTTCGGTGGATAAATGTTCCCTGATATCCAGTCTGAACCTCACCAGGCGCAACCTGAGGCTGTTTTCTCTTCTCCCATCACTTACTACTCTCGAGAAGAGACCGAAATGTTAACCATCTCTGGTCAACCGAGCTCGGACAAGTAGCCTTTTGCACTCCGTCAAGGAGGTGCATCAGCTTAACACAAGGGAGTTCAATGTGTTATCGCTCCACTGTTGATGAATCCTGTGAATCAGAGAATAGTTTGGGTTGGAAGGGACCCTTAAAGATCATCTCTTTCCACCCTTCCTCTCCCATGGGCAGGGATACCTTCCACTAGTCCAGGTTGCTCGGAGCCCTGCCCACTCTGACCTTGAACGTTTTCAGGGATGGGGCATCCACAACTTCTCTGGGCAACTTGCGCCAGTGTTTTACTACCCTCATTGTAAAAAACTTCTTCCTTCTCTCTAGTGTGAGAGAATGCATTAAGTGAATATTTTGCTTCCAAATGATTTTGGTTTGTTATTATTTTAGCTTGAAATCTACTATGGCAAGTTAAGCTAAGTGACTGTGCCATGTGTTTACTTTCCAGATATCTTAAACCAAATATCTTCGGAGAATTCTTGCATAGCACATTTAATCCCGTTACAACTGTCATGGTTTTCTTGCAAGCTGTAATGTTTCAATGCTGGACACTTAGAAAGCTTAAAAGAAAATAGTTTTTGTATGGATGGCTGAGCTACATGTTATCATCAGGTGGTTTCAACAGCAATTCACATGAAACCTGGCTCTTTTATGTTGTTTTTTTGTTTTGGTTTGGTTTTTATTTTAAAGCAAAGTTAATACCCAAAAAGTTGTTTAACACATCCCAAACTCTTTAAGGACCAAATACAATCCATTTTTGTTCAAATAGCACCACTCTGTGTTCAGTTCTGGTAAGTGATGCTTTCCCACACCTAGCTGTGCTGGCAGCAATGATGAAAATGTTTAATTTAAAAAAAAGAAGAAACTTTGTCCATCTTAGCCAAATATCAAATGCCAAAAAAAATTTTCTTGTTTCAGAATTAAGCCACTTAAATCAATATTCATTAACAAATCATTGTTAGAAAACTATTATACTTAGCTATGTTAAGAACACATGCACTGTCTTGCTGTGCATGTAGCTAATACATAGAATTCACAGCAAAATTCCATAGTTTTGTAGCCTTATGGACCATCTGTACTTAGATATTTATAGGTTCTGATGCAAATATTACATAGAGAGAGGTATTTTTACTAAAATGAAATTGCATACAGAAATATCTCCATACGTCTCTTAGCAGGATTATGCAGCCACTATCCTTGTCACCTGGAAGGATTTAATTTCTGATTATATAGTATTCCCTGAAAACAAACAAAAATAGCTCTCTATAAACATATTTGCAAATTGAATATCTTTCCTGCAGGAAAGGTTACAGGCCTATTCAAGTCAGTTCAGTTTCCTTTTGAACAGATAAAATCTGTGTTTACTCCTAACTGTTGATTGCATTATTAAATGGTGTAAAGAAAAGCTGTACTTGTGAAAGAATTGACTTATGTTTTGTGTGTTAGCTCATGCCAGCATACAAATCGACCAGAATTAAGGGTGTATGTCATATTCTGAAAACAGTAGTTGTTTTTTTTTTTCTTTTTAAGCCATTGTTAATTAAAATTATAGTCAGGATACTTTCAGAGGCTCTTCCCTTACTATCTGGAGTTACAGCTCTTTTACCCCTTTTATTTTCTCTTTTTTTTTTTTTAAATGAAAGAGAACTAGATGGTTTAGAAGATCCCAAATAGCATGTAGAGCTCTCTAAACCATTAGTTTATGTAAAAGGCTGGACTGGTTGGGCGTTTAAATTGCCTTAAGCTTGTCAGTAATGTGTGGGCTAGAGCATTTTAATACCAAGGCATTTTAAATACATTAAATTACAAATGCTTTGGTATTTATCAGTAGTACAAATTATAATATTCAGTCAAATCTGGCTAAAAGGACAAGGTCTGCATGGTTGTGAACATATATTGTGTCCATGAAAGATGTATGCCATTTTATGTAGAGGAAGTAGCAGAGAAAAAATAGTAAAAGTAAGTCATGGAATCATATGCAAGTTGGATAAGAATTTTTTTAATACCTGGCTTTGCTGCCTTGTAGAGTGTATCTATGTTTTTTCCCTGTTTTCTTTTCTTTTTCCTCTTGAAAATTATGAATATGCCAAATTTGATTAACAATACAGACTAAATAATACTGCGCAGGAGGCTCTCTGGGACAATTTGTCTCCCTTCATTTTATTATTTCACAGTAGCATATTCTGACATATGCTATGAATCATTTTTCTTTGCTCTTATGAGGTTTCTAGCTATTAAAGTGATTAATCTGCTTGTTAATAATATAACTACAGTTTCTTATTCTGACTTATTCCCCAAACACTCATATGTTCACAGAACAAAACGAATTAAGTAGTTTAGCAATAAGATTTAGGGATTGTTGTTTTGCCAGACATCTGTGGGGTGTCTCCCATTTTGGCTGTGAATTCAGTGTGAAGGTTTCCTGTAATGCTTGTTGCTGAGGAGCAGTGAACCTGTTCATGGTACCTTATTTTCTGAACTGTAGTGACCCATTAAACAGACCTTTCAGTCTACTGTTTGCAAGAAAGGGGAGCAGGATGTTTGTGTGTCATATTGGGAGAATGTAAAGGTACACTAGTGTAAAGTTTCACTATATTAGATATTGTTAAAGACATCCAGAATTTCTGCTATTGCTCATTTTGGTGTTTTATAACCAAAGGTTTCTGCTGAAGAAAGAGGGAAGGGGGAGGGAATCATTTACAATGTGTCTAAGACCACCAAATATTTGCCAATTTGGATTGAGTCATCCCCATCTCCATGGTATTTTCATTCTACTGGTCTCTAATTTAGACTTGTACAGATCATTCTCTTTTGAACAATTATATAATGGAATGTTTTCTCTTCAAATTGAGCTGTTCCATCATGACTGATCCTGCTAGCTATTTGAAGATTTCCTCCTCTTCTTGGCTGAATTTCATTCAAGAGATGGGCTTGAAAAACCACTAGAGCTCTGTATCTCTCAGAAAAATATTGTCATTTCAGGAGCAGTAATTTATGAAAAGAATACAGAAATATTAAAGTATGTCTCCAAGTAATAACACTGTATTTCTCAGAGAGATCCATATTAACTCTGAATAAGCTAAAACACTTCCATCAGCAAGAAATAGTTCAGCTGAGAACTCTGGTGTTTATTAGTGCAAGCAGAAACACCATTAACAAAGCTCAATTGCTTCTTGTGTTTATCTTTTCACAGGAGAGTGTGCTATGTATGCCTACCCTCAGGCAATTTAAAAATTCTTATTTCTCAAGCTATGGAGTATTTGTCCAAGGTATCATGACCAGAACAGTGAGATTGTCCATGTCATTGGCTAAGGAAAAGTCTCAGCTGACCTCTTTTAAGTACTACTTGCCAGGGACCTACTTGAAGAGACTTTATTAAATGATGTACTACCCTACTTCCAATATACTGAGTGCACTGCCTGTACTGAACTACAGAGTTCTGTCAGCAGCCACAGGCACTGACACAAAATCATTGTGAGTGAGGCGTGGTCCTATTTATAACGGGTGGAAATCAGGTCACTGTCTCTCTTGGTTACCAATCTGTTTAAACTTTGGTTTCCATGAATACTCATGCTTGAGATTTTGAAATTTGCATTTTGCTAGCAATTTTGTACGTGAAAAGCAATAGCACGATTGTCTGCAGGGAAAAACACAGCCCTAAGCTCCATGACTTCAGCTGACTTTGACTGTGGGGGTTGTTCAGGCATAAAGTCCTGCCAATGTGAACCTACTGCTCCTGAAACTGGGAGGCAACGTTTCTGCATGACCTCTTGTGAACCCAGATCCTTCTGTTTCTTCCCACTTTAGGGCTATCTATAGATAGTGCTTAGGGTTGCCTTTGCTTCCCTTTTTAGCCTTGCCTGCTGCATGATCCTTCTCCTTTGTTGTGAATTGCCTATTGGATCAATCATTCCCTGGTGATGTCACTTCTCTCCTTTTGGACTTTACTGCCCTGTGATGATAGTGTTAAAATAGAAAACAGTCTGTTCCCCTAATTTTCCATGGTGGAAATATCTGCTTCAGTGTCTTGAAGCAAAGTAACGATGTATGCTTGAGAGATGCATGTCAGTACATCTTCAAACCTTTGCTAAATTTGTTGTTTAGAAATGTATCCCACTGAGCACCCGTCAGAAACTCATTTGTGGTAGTTAAGATGTGGAGATAAAGAAATTATAGAGATCAGAATACTTTGGTTCAAATGAATCTGTGTGTTACGTAAAATGAACTGTCCAGAAACAGGAACAGAAACTGATTTATGTATTCCTACCACTAAACATGAATCAGTTAAATATTTCTGGCACAGCAAAAAGGAACGTGATGAGAATCTTTTGTCCTAAGGGGAAAAGAACATGTGTATTGTAATTGTTTTTAACATTTTCTGCCACCATTCTGCTATTTATGGGTTTGAGTTGGCTGACCCTACTCTGGCAGTGTATTTATGTCAGACATCATGGCCTACAGAAAGTATTTTATATGTCTGAAGAGCCTGGCAACTGTTCTAATTTGAGACTCGGAACATTTTGGTATTTCTATGTCACAATAGGTTGGTAAATTAGGACTTCTTAGCTGGTGGCTTTTCTTCGAGCTGTGGGAGAGCAATGGTATTGC